CCTCTCTGTTGCCACTTTGCGTGTGTGTACTAAGTCGCTTCAGTCGTGTCTGAGTCTTTGCGACCCTGTGGACAATAGCCCGCCAGGCTCCTCTGTCCATGGGATTCTCCAGGCAAGAATACTGGAGTGGGTTGTGTGCCCTCCTCCAGGGGATCTTCCAGATTCAGGGATCGAATCCGCCTCTCTTATGTCTCCTACATTGGCAGGCAGGTTCTTTTTTTTTTTTTTTTTGGCAGGCAGGTTCTTTACCCCTAGGGCCACTTTGTCCCTTTAGGGGGCACTAAAATAGCTCAAGGATCAAGAGCAAACTCTGATCCTGGGTTGGAACCCCAGCTCCCAGCTCAGCCCCTTGCTGGCTGTGTGACCTGAGGGGGCCTTTGTTGGTCTATGGCTGGGAGGCCGTCATTCCCTCTGCTCTGGACCTCTGTGAGGAGGAAACAGTCCCAGGCCTGTCCACACTACAAGTGACAAGCCACTGTTCACTGAGCCCTTTGTGGGTAGAATCTCACCCTGTCCCCACAACCCCCCTATTACTGCTGGTACTATTATTCCCACTTTACGGAGTGGGCAACAGAGGCCCAAAGTGGTTCAGCTGCTGGCATGGAAAAGCCAGGAAGAAAGGGAGGTGGGTGGGAACCCAGGCCCCCTTTCAGCCTTCTTGAGGATGCTCCGGGACCTGGGGGCGGGACTGACCCAGGCCTCCCTGCCCAGGCCACATTCGATAAGTTCGACGAGGACGCCTCTGGAACCATGAACTCCTATGAGCTGAGACTGGCGCTGAATGCGGCGGGTATGGACAGAGGTCCTGGGGGCTCCTGGGGATGGATCTGCTCCCCCACCTCCACCACACCCCTCCCCTGCACCCACAAAGCCCACACCTTAGTTTGTGCAGGAACTGGGTGACCCTAAAAGAGGCTCGAGGGGGAGACTCCTCTGTGTGGGGGGAGGAGGGCACTGTGGGAGTGGGCCCTCCCCGGAGGGGAAGGGGGTTGCCTAGGGAACTGGTGTCTGAGAGGCCCTGGCCCACAAGGCCTCGGAGTAGGATGTCCTGGACTCCCTGGGTGGCCCTGGGCTCTTGAGTCCACCTCCGGGAGCCTCTGTTTTCCTCTCTGTAAAATGGCTCATACAGAGCGTGGCCAGAAGGAGCCTGTGGAGTGGTGCCCACAGGGCTTTTTGCTGGGAACTTAGCTTCCATTCGCACAAACCAGGTCACCTAAACGAAGGCTCACAATGGAGGCTTCCTGAGTTCTTGCAGGAGACATACAACAACCCCATTCTATTTGTGTGGGAGCACGAAACCCTAGCCACAGCACAGAGCCAGAGACCCACGCTTTTCCAGGGCCGCACAGTTAGAAAAGGTGTGCGAGGGTGATTTGCCCCCCACCCCGCCTTGCACGGAAGGAGAGGTGGGATCAGACACCGAACTGCCAGACCCCACACCCCTTCCCCAGGCTCATCGGCCATAGCAAAAGGAAGGATGCAACGTGGAGGGATGGGAGGCTGGGGGGATGTGACCCAGAGTCTGAGAAGCAGAAGGGGGAGGTCAAAGGTGCAGGGAAATACAAGACAAGAAAGGAACTCAAGAGCCAACTCATTAGAAAAGACCCTGATGCTGGAAAAGATTGAAGGCAAGAGGAGAAGGGGACGACAGAGGATGAGATGGTTGGATGGCATCACCGACTCGATGGACATGAGTTTGAGCAAGCTCCGGAAGATGGTGAAGGACAGGCAAGCCTGGCGTGCTGCAGTCAATGGGGTTGCAAAGAGTCAGACACAATTGAGTGACTGATCAACAAGAAGACAGTGGGGGAGATGGGGTCAGAGAAGATGGGGAGACGTGAGCCTGAGAAAGAGTCCCAGGTAGACAGAAGGGGAAGATGGAAGGTTGTGCTATTCACTCAGTATCCCTCGGTAGGGGGTTGGTGTCAGTCTAGGCAGAGAAAAGTGCTCTCGCAGGGATGACATTCTGGTGGTGCGGATACACCAACAAGCAGTGTCTGCTGGTGAGTTCTGTGGTGGGAAAAGGAAGCAGGCCAGGGTTCTGGGACAAGCAGTGAGCGGGGTGCGGGTTGAGACAGGGCGGACAGGGAAGGCCTCACTGAAGTGATGGTTGAACAGAGATCTGAAGGACGGGGAGTGACTGGGGAAGAGCCGTCCAGACAGAGGGAAAGGCAGTGAAAAGGCGCTACGGAGGCCGGTGTGAAGGGAGAGGAGTGAACGACGGGGCTCAGTGATGGAGAGGAGGACTGAGGAGGGGATTGGGGGGATGGTATGGCTGGATCCCAGTGGGGAGGGAGAGGTGGTCACAGAGATTGGTGGGGCAAGACAGGAGAGCCTTGGGAGGACAGCTCTTTAGTACTTACCAGCGGGAGGAGGGAGAGCCAAGTCCAGGATCAGGGTGTGTGTGAGGCTGGAGCTGGCAGGCAAGCGGAAGGCTGCGTGTAGTGGAGGGAATGCCAGGGAGCGGCCAGCAGGAAGCCATGGCCGGAAGACCCTGGCAGCTCTGTGCTGGGGGGGCCTGGCAGAACCTGCTCTGACTTTATCCTGTCCACTGCTCCAGGAACACCCCCAAACCCCGCCCTGCTCCCGGCCCTGTGCTGGGTGATGCTGGGGATTCTGTGGTGACCAGGTGCCTTTCCCAGACCTCTCCCCTGCTTGGTCCCAGAGCCACTAATGACAGTGACAGCCTGGCAAGGTGGATGCTCAGGGCAGGGATGTGGAGGCGCAGGGGGCTGTGGGAGCCCAGAGGGGGAGCTTGATGCTGCTTGTGGGGGTGGGGCTATCTGAGAGGACTTCCTGGAGGAGGTGTGTACCAGAGTAGGAAGTGGTGTTCTGGGCGGAGGGAACATCAAGTGTAGAAGGCAGCAAGACAAAGCCCTAGGTCAAGTGAGGGTGGGTGTTTGAGGGGAGCAGGAGATGAGGCATAGCCTGTGTGGGCCACCAGGTGCCTAGGGACAGTGTGGGCCCTGGGGAGGGGTAACCAGGAGGTCATGGTCACTAGGGCCCAGTAACCTCGGTAAGGGGGTTCACAAGTACCAGCTTTTAAAGGCCTCTCTTGAAATTCCTTGTCAAAGAAGCTTAAATTATATATATATATATATTCTTTGCTTTATTTTTGGCCATGCCTCATGGCATGTGTAATCCTAGTTCCCTGACCAGGGACCAGAGATTGAACCCATGCACCGTGCAGTGGGAGAGCAGGAGCCTTAACCACTGGCCCACCAGGGAAGAACCCCAGAGATGATTTCTAAATTCTAGAAATAGCACCTGATGTGGAGAGTCAAGATATTGACTCCATACGGGACTGGCAAAAATGCTTTGCTGCATGGAGGTATTCTCCAGTGTCTATTAGCAGAAATTCTCAGAGTTTGAAGGGGTAACAACGGACATAGTTAACAATGTGCTGGCAGATACTGTCCTAAGCTCTCAACATCTAACACCTTCACATGCTCACGGGGTCAGGGCTGACCTAGTTCCCATTTGACAGATAAGGAAGTGAAGGGAGTTGCCCTGGGGCCTCACAGCTGGGATGAGGCAGAGCCTGGACTGCAGAGGTGGGGCCAGACCTGCATTTCCTGGGTAGTCAGAGGGGGTGGTGTGACCTGGAGGCAGGCAGAGGGCAGCTGGGCCTCAGAGGTGGCCTCCCCCAGGCTTCCACCTGAACAACCAGCTGACCCAGGCCCTCACGAGCCGCTACCGTGACAGCCGCCTGCGTGTGGACTTTGAGCGCTTCGTGTCCTGCATGGCCCAGCTTATCTGCATCTTCCGTGAGTGCCCTCCCCGGCGCCGGCGGGGCAGAGGGAAATGGTCTCCGGGGCCGTGGGCCCTCACCTCACCTCACCCCTCTTTCTACAGGCCACTGCAGCCAGCACCTGGATGGGGGTGAGGGGGTCATCTGCCTGACCCACAGACAGGTAAGCCTGGAATGCAGGGCACGGGTGGTGGGAGGGGGCGTACAGGGAGCCCCCGGCCTCACTCCTGCTGCCCCCGGCCTCACTCCTGCTGTCTCCTCTTGCCAGTGGATGCAGGTGGCCACCTTCTCCTAGATCTTGGCTCAGGAGCCCTGCCTCTCCCCGCTCCCAGCCTGGACCACGGGGAGGGGGCAGCTGCTCTGACAGTGGGCCGTGGTTCCCAGCGCAGCCTTGGGAGCCAGCCTGCCCGGAGCTGATTTCAGGCGACACAGGGCAAGTCCCCGCACCTCTCTGTTTTGTCCTCGGGCAGGGTCACGCACCTGTCCTGTGCAGGCTGCAAGAGTTTGCCCACGTCACATGCTGAGAACAGTGGCTGGCCCAGAGTGGGTCCCCAGTGGCACCCCTATGCTCACACACTCACGGGAATGGGGACTGGGGTGCGCCCAAGCCCCTATTTCACTCTGGGAAGCGGTGCTCCATCATCACTCTCCGAAGAAGTGCAGAACAGGGATAGAAAAACAGAGGACGCTGTAGGAATCCTTCTTAAAAATATTACATGTTTTATTATCCTGTCCCCAGAAGGGAGGTTTATCCAGAAACCGAGAAAAAACAAAATCAAGAATAAACTCAAAAAAATAAGGGTGGGGGGGTGGGTAGGGAAGGGAGAGCAAAACCATCCACTAACAGGCAGCTAGGCCAGCAGCCCACCCTCCACCTCAGGAGGGTCCCCAGAGACCCATGCCCGACGGCAGACATCAGAGAGAAATCGGTGAGGGGCTGGGGGAGGGGAGCCAATCAGCTATGTCTTCATTATGAGAGCAAGAGGCGGCGAAGATATGTTGCTAGGTGAATATATATTTATATAATAAATCCGTAAGTTAATAAAGTAAATAGTAATTCTCTGAAAGGTTGATTTTTTTTATAGGTTTTTTCCTTTTTGTGAATTTGTGTGTGTGGGGGGTGGGGGGGAGTTTCTGGGAAAGGGGGGTGGTCCTTAGAAAATTTGAAGAGATACACAGGTCCAGACAAAGCAAAGTGGGGGGTTGGCTGGGGGTGAGGGCTGGAGGCTGGTCTGCCTGGCCCCCCCTCCTATCGCAGAAGAGAGGGGGACTGAAGCCCCTCACGTCCTGGTGACGCCAAGTTGGAGGGGAGGCGAGACGGAGCAGGCAGGTCCTCTTTCCTGCCGGGCGGCCTGGGCACCCCCTGCAGGGCCCTTCGCAGGCTCGGCTGTTCCTGGACAAGGCACGTTGGGCTTTGGCCTGGATGTGGGAGGCCTTGAAGGGACCTCGGGGGAGAAGGGGTGGGTGGTGGGGTGGGGGTGCCGTTTCTAGGGCTTGGAGGGGGCCTGTTTTGCTGAGGATCCACTGTTCCCTCCACAAAGTTAAAAAAGAAAAAAAACCCAAAACGAAACAACACATCATATATATTTACCAGACCAGAAGCGCCGACCCCGTAAGCCTCCTGCCCCCATCCAGGGGGAGGGAGAGCCTTGCGGCCGGCCGACCAGAGAGAGAGGAGAGAGCCTGCCCCAGCCCCTCCCTGCCCACCCGCCCCCCAGCAAGACTGACAGAGAGTGCTTTGCATAGATACAGGGTCAGAGGAGCGCCTGGGGCCCTCGCGGTGGGGAGGCGGGGTGGAAGGGCTCCCCCAGCCCCTCCGGGAGGCCGTGAGGAGTGGGGCGTTTGGCCAGGGGCTCTCTGAGCGGGGCCTCACAGGTCGCTCTCTCCGTACAGGGCTGTGGAGAAGGACTTGTAGTCGAGGGCGCCCGGCACGGCGTCGGGGCCCTGGTAGGGTGCCATGCGGGCAATGCAGTACTCCGCCTGGTCAGGTGGCAGCTCTCTCCGCAGCTCCTCGGCTGTGATGAAGTTCTGGGGGGCAGCAGGGTGGGAACCTGGGTCACCCCCCACCCGCCCCCAGCACGTACGCTGGCCCACCCGGCCCCTGGGTGCCTGCCTGCTGGACGTCTGGCTCACCTTGTCCCCGGCCAGGACCTTGAAGGAGGCGATGACCTGGTCGGCCGTGTCTGTGTCGGTGGTCTCCCTCGACATGAAGTCGATGAAGGCTTGGAAGGTCACAAGGCCGCTGTGGTTGGGGTCCACCACGCTCATGATGCGGTTGAACTCGGCATCGCCCTGCAAGGGGGGTGGGCGGGGGACAGGTGGCCCTTGAGCAGCGCAGGCAGCCTGGGCCTGGCCCAGTGGCTGGAACGTGGGGCTGGGAGAGCAGGGCCCAGCCCCAGCACACGGGACCAGCGGCGTCGGCAGGCCTCCGAGGGTCCCGGCTCCCCCGGGGCCCACTGCCCCATGCACCCTCCGCTCCGCCCCTCCCACAATCCCCACTGGGAAGTGAGGAATTGGGGTGAGGATCAAACAGGTCTACTGCTCCTCAGCCCTGGCTCACAAGTTAGCTCTGGAGGGCGAGGAAGAAAAGAGAGAAAGAGAGAGAAAGAGAAGCGGGGAGTGCGGGAGGCCTGGCCTCCTCTCTCTGGAGACTTCCAGGGCAGGAGGTGGGAGGCTTGGGGTGGGGGGTGGGGGTGTCGTCGGAGGGACCCCACCCAGCAGAGGCAGCGGAGGAGGAGAAGGAGGGGTGGGGGAGGAGGAGGGGGGAGGAGGGAGAAGGAGGAGGAGGGGGGAGGAGGAGGAGCAGGCGGGGGGGAGGCCAGGCTGCGCTGCTCTGGTGGAGGAGGGTCCCCGAGGACACGGAGAATCTGGAGGCGGTGAGGAGGGTTGGGGGGGAGCAGGGAGGGGAAAGGCCGAGCAGCAGGGGAGGCAGAGGCGGCATACCAGGCTGTATCCTGTGGAGATAAGCAGAGCCCTGAAGTCATCGGAGTCCATGCTGCCTGTCTGCTTCTGCTCCAGGACCCAGGGACAGCAGAGGAGGCCGGGCCCAGAGTAGGCAAGAGGGGCCGCCCCATGTGCACAGCGGGGAGACAGGACAGAGGCGGGGAGCGGGGCGGACAGAGGCGGCCCCGAGAGACCAGGTAAGGGGGCCGGTGTCAGGAGAGACACAGGGCAGGGAAGAGGCGGCAAGAGAGCCGGTGAGATGGTACACGATGGCGAGGGGTGGAATGGCCGAGGGAAGGGAGACAGAGAGAAGGAGAGAGAGAGAGAGAAGAGCAGTTAATGCCACGGTCCGCTGGGGCCCCGGGGGCGTGTACCTGCCGGTCGTTCTCCACGTCGTAGCCCAGGCTGATGAGGCAGGCCTTGAACTCCTCCGGCCCCAGCGCCCCGCCGTGGTCCTGCCGGCGGCATCCGGGGGCAGGTGTGCACGAGGGGTGGGTGGTGTGGAGACCAGGCCGGCAGAGGCGGGGCCGGGGGCCGGGGTCACATGCAGAGGGCGGGGGAGGGGGACACACAGGGGGGAAGGGAAACACAGAGTTAGAGGTGACGTGGACAAGGTGATGGCCGGGGTGGGGGCCTGGAGGGTGCTCAGAGGCCTCACCCTGCCTCCTCTGGGCCAGGGCGGGGCAGGGGCTGAGAGATGCAGGAGTCAAGTCCCAGGACTCCTGGGAGGGAACGGGGGAGCTATCCTGGCCCCCAGGATCTGGGGTGGGAGAGAGGGGACTGCCCCTCTCGTGTGGGATGCAGGGCCCCGCTAACCCCTGGAGCACATCCTTCCCACGGAAGGCAGGCAGACACCTCAGGCCCAGCAGGGATGGCCTGGGGCAAACTGGTGTGCGGGGCTCCTCTTGGGGCTACCAGGCCATGTCTGACTTTTAAGAACTGTGTGTGTGTGTGTGTGTGTCTCTTGGATTCCTGGGGGTGCTGACACTTGTCCGTGTGTGTGTGTCTGTCTGTTTGTCTCGGATCCCCGGGGGTGCTGACACTTGTCCGTTCAGGGTTGCCCTGGCAGGTGGGTGAGGAGGCACAGCCCCAGGGACAGAACCAGGGATTCCCCTTTCTCCTCCTGAGGGAAGCTGGGTCCCCGCCAGCCCGTGAGTGGCCTCTGATACTCAGGGACCATGATGTGAACAGACAGACAGATGTGAAGACGGAGGGGGCAGGGTGGGAGGTGACAGCGGGGAGGGAGGGAAGACGGGGCCAAGGGAGCCGCTCACCTTGTCGAAGTGGTTGAAGGACGCCCGGAACTCCTGCATCTGCTCCTGGCTGATGCCCTTGGCATCGCGGGTGAGGATCTGGTTCTCGACCTCGTTGATGGTGCGGGCGATGGTGGTGAGCAGCTGCTCCCAGCCCACCCGGATGTGCTGGGGAGGAACCAGGGCGTGAGTGCAGGCTGGGCCAGCGGGCGGGGGTACTGGGACAACAGCAGCTGCAGCTCAGGGGGGTCAGCTCAGGGGGCCATGTGTGGCCTGGAGTCAGGCTCACCCTAACTCTTTCAGTGTCAGCCCAGGCGCAGGCACTCCCGTATGCTCATGTGCACACAGGGACACAGGCCCATGCCTGCCTCTGCCCGCCCACCAGGGCCCTGGTTCACGCCACACTGGTGTAAGACCCAGTCAGTCACGAGGCAGCAGAGGACCGGGGCCTGACACCCATGCCAGGATCCTCATGGGAACTCTGCAGAGATGTTCCAGGAACGCTCATCTAGCTTTCTGGGGAAACTCCTTTCCCTTCCTTTTATTTGGTGGCACCCTCGGATTTGCATGGTCTCAGGGCTTATCACCCGGGACCATTTCAAGCTGCCAGTATGACAGCAACCAGCCCTGATGCTGGAACTTCCGCACATGCTGGACCACGTGTGTGGGCTTGAGGGCTGGACCACGCCCTCAAACAAGGACCAAAGGATCAAATGGCTGGGGCCATACTAGGAGGCAGGTGCTGCCTGCCCTCCCGGCTCTCCAGGGAGCTTGTCCTGAGATGTGTGTTATCACGGTGATGGGAGAGTACTGGTAAGGAAATTAACTTTTCAAAAAGTATGAACGTGGGATCCAGTCTCTGCGCTCAAGAGTGAAAGAGGAGAGAAAGGAAGTGGAAGCCGGCTTTTCTGCGGGGCAAAAACTACTTGGAAGAAGGCAGCAGCCTGGCTCGGGCTGGCAGGGCGAGCGGGTGCACCTCCATAGTATAGTTGGTGTGCTTGTTGTCAAAGATGAGGGCCTCCTGGATGAGCTGGTGCTGCTGCTCGAGCAGATCCAGATTGGGCTTGTAGTCCACGATGCTGCGCTCATACTGCTTCAGGTGGCTCAGCTGGTCCTCCAGCGTCCCGTTCATCTCGATGGAAATGCGCCCAATCTCCTGCACAGAGGAGGGTGGTGCTGGACTGGGGCTGGCGGACTCTCGGGCCACCACCAGCCACTGGGAGGAAGCCTGTCGCTGGCCGCCGCACTGCGGGTTGGTGGGTGGGGCGGGGCAGGGGGCACGGGGAGACTGCTTCCAGCCTGGGGGTCTTCTCCCAGAGGACCAGCTGTAGCTGGTGATGCTCACTGACTGTCCCCCCACCAGCCCCGCCCTCCAGCACAGCAGAAGTGGTCAGAGTTTCTGCCCCAGCGCTTCACAGGTCCACCCTCACTGCTCCCTCCCTGTGAGGCCCGTTCTGCAGAGGTGGAGACTGAGGTCGGAAGAGGACAGCTTATCACAGTACGAGGCAGAGCCGGGATGGGAACCCAGGCCTGGCCCACTTCAGAACCCGGGCTCCTGAGCGCCCCCACGCCTCTGGGCTGCCTACCCCGACCTCTCGGACTAGCTGTGACTCTCAGTGAGGCCGCTCGGCCAGCAGGAGCCCGAAGGGCAGAGGGGCATGCTTCCAAGCCTCCCGGGGCTGGATCACCAGGGCGGAACGCGCATGCTCGTGAGGGTCTGAGCTCAGACCACCTTGGTCACCGTGACACCACGGTGCTCACGAGGGGGCTGGCGCAGGGCGGTGCCCAACTGTTCGCTGAGGAAATGAAGTAACAGTCCCGCCCCTCTCAGGGATGACAGCACTGAGGAGCAGAGGTTACGTGTGCCTGACTCCGGAGCAGCTGCTGAGGGCAGAGCCAACTCGAGGCCACCTCTCCTTGACCCCTAGCACTGTTGCCCGCTGGATGGCACCGCCATTTCCACTGATATAACCTTCCTGACCCTCCTGATTCCACGAGGCCCCCAAGTCCACTGGCCCCACGGAGCACTACAGACCTCCTGCCAGGGGCGGGCAGCCTCCCATTTAGCAGGGGTTCTTGCTCAATTTTGCTGAGAGTGTCTTGGGGTGCGGGGGCGGCAGTGGCTGGGCTGGGGTGACTGGCTCTCACCTCCATCTTCGTCTGGATCCAGGGCCCCACGATGTTGGCCTGGCTGGCGAACTGGCGGCGGAGATGCTCGTTGGACTGCTGTTTGCTCTGCTCCTCCAGGAGGGCGTGGTCCCGCTTGGGCACCAGCTGCTGCACCTGGGGAGGGCACATGGGCAGGGGCAGTTGGGGGGCGGCCCTTCGCCTGGCGGTCCCTCCTTGGCCTGCCGGTGGGTGGGTGGTTGGGGGCTGCCTACCTTCTCCCACTTGGAGTTGATGATCTGGGGGGTGACGGTGGTGTACGGGTTGCTGCCCGAGAGCTTGATGTGGTTGCTCTCGGCAATCCGCTGGGCTTCCTTGTGAATGGCCAGGATGGCTTCCCGCTCCCTGTCAGCATCCGGCAGCGTTGACTTGAACTGGTCGTGAGCTGAGATCAGACCCTGGGAGACGTGAAGAGAAGGGATGAGGGGGCAGCCCGACACCCGAAGGCCCCATGAACCCCAAGAAGGGCGGGTGGGCGGGCAGGGGCAGACCTCGATTTCCTCGATGGTGTGGACGATGAACATGTCCTGGAGGTCCTCCATGGCGCTCTCCATCCAGTTGTTGAAGGGGGCTGCCCGCTTAGCGTACTCCAGGTGCAGCTGGTCGATGGTCTCCAGCTGCTTCTCCGTTTTCTGGTGAGTGTCGGGGGGAGGAACAGGGACAGAGGAGGGAGGTCAGTGGGCCAGCAGGGGGAGTGCACAGTGGGCCGGGGTCTGGGAAGCTCTGAGGGCACCCACCCCCGCCACCGCCACTGCTCACCTCCAGGGCTTCCCTGCGACTGTGGGTCAGAGAGCCAAGGGCATCCCACTGGTCGCAGATCTTCTGGCAGCGCGTGTTGACGTTGTGGGAGTCGTAGTAATCCAGCTCGCTGTGGACCGGGCAGAGGGTGGTGAGACCCGGTGCGGGCGGTCAGGGAGTGCCAGACCTGCCCGCCCACACACGTCCCAGGCCCTGGTGCGGGGGGACACCAACACTTAAGAGCATCAGTCGTTAACCACCTCTCTGGTCTGAGGCAGGAGGAATTGGTGGCGGGGTGCGCGGGTGGGGAGAGGACAACAGAGCTTCCTGTCAAGAGCAGCTGACGCAGGGCTCCCAGACAGTGACCCTCAACCACGCCTGTATCTGGATTGCTTTTTGTTTTTTTGGCTGTGCCATGTGGCTTGTGGGATCTGAATTCCCCAACCAGTGGTCAAATCTAAGCCCCCGGCAGTGGAAGCAAAGAGTCCTGACCAGTGGACTCCCAGGGAAGTCCCCTGGATTGCTCTTTCCATTTAAAGAAAGTCTAGCAGAGCATGCTGGTTAGAGGACAAGGCTCTGGAGACAAGTTCCCTAGGCATGAATTCCAGCTCCTGATTTTGAACCTTTGTGACCCTGGGTAAGTGAATTCCCTCTGGATCCCTCGGTTTTTTCATCTGTGAGATGGGGGTGGGGTTAGTGAGGAAACCAACTTACTTAACACACGTGAAGTGCTTGCTGAGAGCAGTCCTTGGCGCCCAGTAGGTAAAAGTAGGAAGTTATTAAAGGATATGTTTTTATGGGTATTAGGAAAAAAAAGTGTGTGACTAGCCTGCAATCTCATGCTAAGCAACTAACAATATATTCAAGAAAAAAAAAAAAAACAAGCTGATCAGGGAACGGGTATTATTGTTGCCTTGACTGAGGTTGGGAACAAACACTGGGCTGATACCATAGCTCTTGGCCCCACCCCCACCCCCAACCCGGCGAGCACCAGCCCCATGCCTCCCGCCACCTGGAGTCACACTTGGGCACTCCCAGCAGCAGGCTCCCAGGGAGTCGGCGCACAGGTCTAGGGTGACCAGACGGTCAGGCAGGATACAGGGGCCAGGGGAGCAGGCAAGGGCTGGAGGAGCAGCAAGGCAGTGCTCCACGCAGGGGCCGGGCCGGCCTGGGCCCCACTCCCGTCTCACTCACTCCCTGGCTGTGTGACCCGGGCAGGCCCCTTGGCTTCTGTGTGCCTCAGTCCCAGCTCTGTAAGCGAAGGTCGATGGGGGACTGAACGAGCTGGCACCTGGAGGGCACTGAGCGCTCTGAGCTTTTGTCATTATCATTAGCCGCTACACAGCTGGGCTGCCCACCCAGGCGGCCCTTGGCCTCTGACTCATCTTCAGGGGAATGGACGCCACCTCAAACAACCCTCCCCTCTTCCTCCAGGGTGACTGTCCAGAGAGTTGACTGGGGGACCGTCAGCTCCCTGACTCAGGGCGATGGGTTTCACACGGCCATTCCCAGGGCCCGAGCAGTGGGCTGGCCTAGCGCTGACTGCAAGTCTGTTGCCCACCAGTGTCCAGGGGCTCGCCTGTCCCACCCCCAAAACCCCTGCGGATGGTGGGTGTCTGTGTCCGTGACCTCACTCTCGGTCTGGACGTGCCAGGTACAGGGGGCTTGATCCTAGAGGAGCTGCAGGACCCCCAACAGTGCCCAGTGAGGGCACGTGTCACCCCAGGACCGTGCCCCGTGGTACTTTTGCCCCTGGGCGAGCACACGGGGAGCCGCAGAGCAGCTGGGCAGCGCGGAGGGAGTGAGTCAGGAACACAGCCCTCCCCAGCATGGGGCTCCTGCAGGCCTCGCCGCTGGGCCCCTGCCTTGGAGGAACAGGCAGAACTTCATGGATGACTGTGACAGGGTGGGAGGGGTCTGTTGAAAGGCCGACTGCAGCCAAGGATCCTATTTTTGAGCAGACAGCTATTTTGGGAGCCCTGCCGCCCCTCCAGGGCCTGTGGATTTTCCATGAAGTAATGGCCGGGTCTCCTGCTCCCTGGGCCTTGCCTGCTGCTAGCCGCTCGGCGGGGGAAATAAGGCTCCCTTTCACTGTGCTGGAGAGTCAGTGTACTAATTGTGTGCACGAGTTTATCTGACTGGGGTGGGGCGGGGAGGGCAGAGAACCGGCTGCCTGGAAGCTTTTACAATAAGTGTATTCTGAGCGGCAAAGGGAAGGGGCTGGGTCGAACAATGGGCTCTCTGTGCGGCCAGAGTCCCTCGGGGAGCCATGGGGGCTAGGCCGCCCACCACCTCAGGGGGCCAGAGACGTCCCTTCTGTTGGGGAACGTAGATCCCACTATGGGTCTCATCTGGGGTTAAGACAGGCAGACAAAAGGCATCACCCCATAAGGCTCCTTCCTAGCATGGGAAAGGAGGGGGTGAGGGCAGAAAGGGCAAGGGAAACCCCTCCACCACTGCCCCACCACCACTCTGGGCCAGGTGCTGGCAGGGAAGCGGGTGACGGGGGACCGCGAGCCCACACATACTTGAGCTCCTGGGCAATGGCGGCAATCTGCTCCACGCGGTCCTGGTGGGCGGCCAGGTCACTCTCGAAGGCTTCGTGCTTGCGGATGAGGGCCTTGATGTCTGACAGGGTAGCCGTCTCATAGTCCCGGTGCTTCAGCATGGCCTCCTTCCCTGAGGTGGGGCGGAGGGCAGGGGTGCTTGATCAACAGTGTTGTGGGCGTCCAACCAGAGGGAGGGGAGCAGGGTACAGACCCCATGCCCTGCCTCGGCGAGGATGCTGCCATGAAGGCCGGAAACCCCGGGAACCTTTTCCCTTGCTCCTTTGCAGGAATCTCTAAGCCCAGCTATAATACCTCCTGGATGGGGCTAGGAGACACTGTGGGGTTGGTGGGCGTGACTCAGATATCCCAACTCAGGCTCTGTGCTCTAGACTTAGTGTCTTTTATTGGTGCACACTAAGTAGTTTGGAGAAGGCAATGGCAACCCACTCCAGTACTCTTGCCTGGAAAATCCCACGGGCAGAGGAGCCTGGTGGGCTGCAAGTCCATGGGGTGGCGAAGAGCGACTGAGCGATTTCACTTTCACTTTTCACTTTCAAGCATTGGAGAAGGAAATGGCAGCCCACTCCAGTGTTCTTGCCTGGAGAATCCCAGGGACAGGGGAGCCTGGTGGGCTGCTGTCTATGGGGTCACACAGAGTCGGACACAACTGAAGCGACTTAGCAGCAACAGCAGCAGCAAGTTGCTCAGTCGTGTCCAATTTTTTATGACCCTATAGACTATAGAACACCAGGCTCCTCTGTCCATCGGGTTCTCTAGGCAAGAATACTAGAGTGGGTGGCCATTTCCTCCTTCAGGGGATCTTTCTAACCCAAAGATCAAATCCACATCTCAACGTCTCCTGCATTGGCAGGGGGGTTCTTTACCACTAGCGCCACCTGGTAGACGGTAAGAACCTGGATTGGGCTACCAAGGCTGGAAAGGTTGACACCCACCTGCGGAGGGCCTAATTGGGCCTCAGCAATGCGGGGTGGGGGTGGGGGACGGCGCAGAGGGGAGGGGAAGTCTGACTTGGGGCTCTTCCAGGAGCCTGACCCCATGCCTGCTCCCTGGCCCTTGGGCACCAGGCCCTGTCGGGGTGGGAGTCCTACCACACATCTGCTCCACACTGCCCTAAGGGCTTTCTCCATGCAGTGAGGCAGGGCCCATGTCAGGCCCTTTAAAGGGAGGGAGGAACACTGTTATTAGGCCCGGAGCCTGGCTAATTATACACCCCGGGAGGGAAGCTCAGGCGGGGAGCCCTGTACACTCAGTGCCACAGAGAACCAAGGGGAAGATGCTGGGACCCCTAGCCTCTAAAGTGACCTCGGGCTACTCCCAGAGCACACACTCAAGAGACCAAACCCTCCTCAGCGGGCACCAGAAAATCCCAACAGCTGCCTGCCGTGGGCAGCCAAGCAAGCAGTCTCTCCTGGTCTGCTCCTTCTGTAAAATGGGGCCAATGCCAGCCCTCGGCTAAAGCCCCAGTGAGGTGATCTCGAAAAGGGGGGGCACCAGCCAGGCCCACCCCACCGCAGCTGTCCCAGGGATGGAGCCCCGAACCAGCGGGCAGGGGGTGGCGTGGCCTGGGAGCCTGACTTCACGGGGCCCTGCTGCCCTGGCTCCAGGGCAGCAGGCCCAACCACAAAGGCAAGCTTGCAATTCCCTTCTCCAGATTGCTTTCTCCCAAGGGTGGGAACCAGAAATAGCAGGTTACCACTTCTCTGCCTCAGCAGAGCTGCTGTAAGGGAGCTGCCAGGGGGAAGAAGTGGGAGGAGGGGGCCACGGCCAGGGCTGCCTGGGATCTGGGCCAAAGGGCAGCCAGGCCGAGGTGGGGGGGGGGGCGCTCATTTTTGCTTTCTCCCCAGACAATCTGAGACCCTGTGAGGAGCCTCCACATGGAGGCTCACACACTCCTGCAGGGGATGAGGGGGTTACAGGGTGACGGCAGCTCAACCTGCCCTCTGCCCGCGTTGTACACGCAGGTAAGGAGCCTCCTCCACCCGATCCCAGGAGTACAGCGGGGTCTGGGGGCCAGCCTGCCCTGTGGTGCATAATTGGTGGTTCAGAGGACAGAGGCTTCACGTCTTGGGAACGAGAATGGACAGGCCTGCCCAGTGGCTCCGGGCCGACGTGAGGGGGAGGGCTGGATGCCAGAGTGCCTGAGGGGAGGCAGGGCCGGGGCATGTGGAGGCTGAAGCCTGGACAACCACTTCTAAACACCTTCAGGTGAAGGCCGGCCAGGTTCCCAGGGAAGCGGCTCGGAGGGCCCGTCACCCCCTTCCCCTCGGCCTCAGGAGACCCTCTTCCCAGGCCTCTTGGAGCCCCAGGAGAGAGGCTGAAGGGCTGACGAGAGGCCCCCAGGAGGCAAATCCACAGGGATGATCCTCAGAGACCAAGGAAGGATGATGCAGAGAGACGGTGACACGGGTGATGGCAGGAGATGGTTCAGTCCAAGCGGGGGACACGGGTGCTCTAAAACCCACTTAAATGACAAGGGACCTCTGACAAGAGAAATGGCAAAACTGATTGGTCTCTGAGCTTCCTGGGCAGGAACCCTTCCCTACCTGGGAAACTGCTGAGCACAGCGAAGAGGCTCAAGACGTGTTTGTTGAATGAATGAATGAAGAACCAACAAATAAACTACATGCCAACTCCCCTCTTCCTCAGGTCTGAGGGGCAGAACCCATGGGTGTGGCTTCTGTGAGGCAGAGGGAGGCACCTGCCTCCCAGCATGGACTTCGTGGTCCTCGCCTGGCCTTCTGACTGCCCCCGCTCCGCATCCCTCCCCTGGCACAGGAGGGCCAGGATCCTCAGGAGCTCCTGTGAGGAGGGCATTTGCTGGGCAGCGGCCAAGGACATGGGTGACACGGGCCGCAGCCAACAAAGCCTGCACAGCCTCGCGTCCACATGCTGGCAAGAGGTGGACAGGCTCCATGTGGGCGCCTCTGGGTGGGTCTTAGCAATTGGCCAAGGTTGGGGCTGCCTGCCAATGGGCTTCCCAGGTGGTGCTAGTATTAAAGAACCTGCCAGTCAATGCAGGAGATGCAGAAGACCCGGGTTCGATGCCTGGGTCGGGAAGATCCCCTGGAGGAGAGCGTGACAACCCACTCTGGTATTCTTGCTTAGAGAATTCCATGGACAGAGGAGCCTGGTGGTATATAGTCCATGGGGTTGCAAAGAGTTGGAACAACTGAAGCAGCTGAGCATGCAAGCACACACACCAGATAGCTGGGTGGGTGGGGGCTGGAGGAGCCCCCAGGGGCTCAGTGAGGATCTCGTGGTGGACCAGGAGGGTGGGAGGGATGAAGAACCACTGAGCAATGCAAGGAAGCATGAAACCAGTTCGGCAGTGGTGGCAGGAGGGCAAGGCAGAGTGGGAGGGTAGGAGCCCCGTGGAAGGCCCTCCGCGTTCCCAGGCGCTAGCTGTTTCCTGAAGGCTCTCAGGCCCTTGGGATCTGGGATCTCAGCCTGGTGTGGGTCCCAGCTGAGGGCCAGGATGTGATGGAATCCCACAGCCCAAGCCAAGAGAACAGGCAGCTGTGGAGCTGCCGAGAAATCGGAGTTGCGGTGGCCCTTCTGGGAGAAGGCATCCCGCGGGGGGCAAGCCCCCTGGGGGAGGCACTGGATGGGGCAGAGATGAGAAAGAGCTCCCATGGAGGGGCCACACCGAAGGCTGGTCAGTGAGTGGCACCTGCGGTTCGGGCAGCAGGGCCAAGAGGTGGCTCCGTGGCCTGTTCCAAGGACCGTGCTCAGGATCCCAGACTGGCCAGGACAGGCTCTTCAATATGAGGTCCATGGTCTCAAAGGGTGAAGGGGATGGAAGGCAGGCTGTGTGAACCCAGGCTGCCGGAGCGGGGCGAGCCTGCCCCCGGCCTCACTGGCCCGGAGGGGTGCCATTCTCGGGGGAGACGGATAGGCCTGGGGGGTCACGTCCCTAAACAGCCAGTCCAGAGCTGCTTTCTCAGATGACTGGCCACCAGTGACCCAGGAAGGGGCCCACCCGTGAGTGATCTCCAAGCCAGAGTGGACTGGGGGGACCTGGCCCCAAACTGTTCCTCGCTGCCCAGGGCTGGACGCACCTAAAGCGTCATTTGTGACATGCGTGTTCCCAGGCAGCAGAAAAGGGGGTCTAGCAGACAGACAAACCCTACAAGGCAGCAGGGGCTCTGTGTGTGTGTGAGTGTCCGTGTGTATGTGCGAGCACGCGCATGTGTCTGCAAGCCAGCAAAGGAGGGCAGGAGCAGGGAGGGCTGTACCGTCGGTCCAGGCCTCGTGGATGGAGGCCTTCTGCCGGAACTTCTCTGCCAGGTGGTCGAGCCGCTCCAGCCGGCGGATCTCGTTCAGCAGCCACTCCTCGTAGCCCTTCTCGGCCTGCTCCAGGTGCTGCCAACCGTTGTTGATGTCCTGTGGGGGCAGGAGAGGGCGGGGCTACGAGGGGGGCTGGGGCACGCAGCGGGGCAGTGCCTTCCAGAAGGATGCTCACAGAAGGCAGAGAAACGGGCCGGGGTCACACGTCGCCCTGCTCTGCTGTACCTGCATGCCTGCACAGGGCCCCCTATACCTTCCGATTAAATGAATGAGTGACCATGAATGAATGAATGCCCCCATGGTGCTATGACTGTGCAGTGACTATCACCCTCTCCTGGCAGGGGTGGGAGTCCCAGCCAAATGAGGGTCCACATTCAAATGATTCCAAACTACGGTGTTGTCTTGGGATGAGAGTAAAACTCCAGGGAGTGATGCGGGGAAATTAAACATGGTCAAGTGTCAAGTGTATGCCCCACGGCGCCTTGCACCCGGATTTGTGCATTCTAGTTCAGAAAGACTGCAGGCCAGACAATACACCTGGGGATGGCCTGAAGCTGCCCCTCTGCCCCTCACGGGGCCTCTGTGGCTCCGTCGGCCTCCTGGGCCCCAGCACTCACCGACACCATCTTGCCCTCGGAGGGCATGAAGGCGGGCCGGTTGCTGAGGCGCAGCTTGGTCTGCAGTGTGTTGAAGTTGATCTCCAGCTGGCACTTCTCCTGCACCTTCGGCGGCTTGTGGACCCGCCGGTAGTCACGGAAGTCCTCCAGCTTCTGCTGCATCTCCTGGATGGTCTTCTGGGGCACGCGGTCCTCCAGCCAGGGGATGGTGCGCCGGATCCATTCCAGGAGCTGTGGGCCAAAGAAAAGTCGGGGTGACCTTTGCAGGGGACCCGCCAACAGCTGACAGGGCTGCCTCCAGCTCATGGGCACGTGGGACCTGGATCTTCGAGGACCCCATCTTGAGGGATCACCCCTGCTATCCAGCCTGACTTCGCCATGATTCCCCATGGGCAGCCCATGGCCAGGGATTCTGGGAATATCACCCCTGCTAGAACCACAACTCTGTTCTCTGGCTTCTTTTTACTTCTGCCTTTGCCCTTGGTCTTCCTCCCTCCTCTAAGCAGGATGGCTTCAATTCAGACATCCCTTTGGGGGCACCGCCCCCATCAGGGCTGCACAAGAATCCACTGTCGCCAGGCGCAGCACTATCTAAGAACCTTGCTGCATCCTGTTCACCAACTGTAAGCGCCCCAAGGCAGGACTGGCCACACGCCTGGCTCACTCTGGGGTAGTCAGCGCCAGGCGCAGAGCCTGGGCACAGAAAACTAGATAGTACATCTGAAAAAAGAAAGTGACCTGTACTTTTATGAGCCACTCATGTCTTTGATGGAGTGAGGAAAAGGTACAAACCAGCCAACAAACTGGATATTCCAGAACAATCCCAGTCAGTAAGATCAGTTACTGTGCAGGTAGATATGCCTGGGGAAGGGGGTCTGAAATGCCAGCCTCAGGCAGGATAAGAAAACCGAGGCTCGAGGTTTCCACGTGTGTTCACGTCCGGGTGCCTGGTGCCTGCTGCCCTCTGGGGGGCAAGGCTGGGGCTCTAAGACCCAGCCCCTAATCTTTCCTTGGTGTTAGCAGTGGTGGTGGTGCCAGGCAGTAGCTTTCTCTTGTTTAAAGTATCTTTAACTTGGCAAAAGAAAAAGTCTGCTGCTATAGGTGGGCTGGCAAATACTTTCCCAAGTTTTCCTGGTCTGTGAAATCTCAGAGTCTGGGGAACACTGATCTAGAAGAGCAGTCAAATGACTCCTCCTGGGGAGCTTAGATGCCAAGAGGGTAACAGGAGTTCCCTCCTCACAGGGGACCTGCCGTGACAAACAGCCATCCTGTCTGTCGCTGTGTCAGATCTCGGGTCTCTTTCCATCCTACCAAATCAGGCTTCTGTGTGCGGGACACAGGGACAGGAATTTTTGTATAGGGGAAGGAACTTTTTAAAAAGCTCCTTTAAAAATTTTTTAAAAATAAAGGGACTTCCCTGGTGGTCCAGTGGTTAAGACTCTGTGCCTCCACTCTAGGGGGTGTGGGTTTGATCCCTGGGTCAGGGAACTAGGATTTTTTTTGCGTGGCATGGCCAACAGATTTTTAAAAAATAAAATAAAAAGCTCCCCAGCTGATTCTAATGCAGTGGGGGAAACTCCATCCCTAAGTATCTCTGTAGGAAGCCAGGCACGAGATGCCAGGAGTCAGTAAGCATGGTGACACATCACGCTGACCCTCAGTCCTGTGAAACCATGAGGACTGGCGTGGTCAGACTCTACTCTGTAACCCTGTGACCTTCTCTAGAAGGTCTCGCTGCCATCTTTGCTCTCTCCTCTGCAGGTGTCACAAGGCCTTGGGCCAAGGGTAACGAGAGGGGACCGGACCTTTCAGCTCTGGCGGGGCCACCGGGGGGAGTGCAGGGGCGAGGGGTCACTCACGTCGCTGGCCAGCCTCTCATAATCTTCCATCAGGTGCTCATTCTCCTGGTTGACGGCCAGCACCTTGCAGATCCGGTTGGCAGCGGTCTCAGCCTGGGTTGGGGGGACGGGGTTGGGGGGGGAAGCGCACACAGTCAGGGCTGCCTGGGGGCTGCTGACCCTCCCTCCTGACAGGCAGGTCCCCTGAAAGCTGGCACGTCCATGGCCCACACAGAAGGCCCCGAGGCGGGGAGGAGAGGAAGCACAGAGCTAGCAAGAGGGTGCCCTGAGAGGCTGAGTCCTGACAGGCCTTGCTGGGGTCCTTGGAGCTGACTGCTAAGGTCCCTGCTCGGGGAGCTGGGCCTGTATGCCCTCTCGGCTTGGACCCTGGAAGTGCTGAAGCAGGGTGGTGAGCCCCCTAATGTGGGGGAAATGGACTCAGAGGCCCACAGAGAGGAGGCCTGGGTGGGGCTGAGTAGGGTCCTCCACGCGGCTGAGCCCTGGAAGGACCCGCCCCTTGGCTGGGGAGGGAGGCTGCACCAGGGAGCCGTGGGGCGCGGGCAGAAGAGGGGTGCTGGTGTCCCCCAGAGCAGGCTGGTGGTCGGTGCACGGGTAGAGCACGCCTGGCCCCTTTCCTATCCCCCCCTTCGGAGGACGCTGCCGCTGGCTGGGTGGGCGGAGGTCCCGATCCACAGGGTAGAGGGGAGCCGGGGCTCCCGAGAGCGGGGAGCGGCACCAGCAGTGACTAGTTTCTGCCCCGAACTACAGGGTGGGGTCCTGCTGGGGGTGGGGGGAATGCCAGGACAGGAGGAGGAGGGTGAGGGATGGCACACACAGACCAGGTACCTTTCAGGAAGCACAGAAAGCCTCCAAGAAGAAGAGTTGAAAACGGCAACAGAACAGGAACAGAAATAGTGAGGAGGGTCTACAGAGTGGTGGGGAAGGAAAACAGAGAGGCTTGGGGATGGCTCCAGGCCCGCTGGCTGCAGGCACGACGCCCGCCTCTCTCCTCCACACACAGGTGGGGAGGGGAGTGGGGGGCCAGCTGCGGCTGGTGTGTACACGCACACGCATACACACACGCACACACACACCTGCTGCATGCTGCAGGACACTCGCCAACAAGCCCCAGAGGGGAGGCTCGCGAAGGCCTTGGCCAGCGAACACCCAGCCCCGAGTGAGCACAGGAAGCAGAACCCTGGTAACAGCCTGCAGGGAAGTCCCTGACCCCCAGCCTGGAGAGACGACCAGACCGGCACCCCAAGCTCAGCTCCGCCCCGCTGGGCAGGCCCCGCCAAGGTGCGGGCTGACAGGGAAGGGGTGTTTTGTTTCGAGGCTGAATTCCTGGCACCCGGCTCGGGGCTTGGCGTGTTTGAGGGACTCAAGAGTTGATGAATGAATGAGCGAGCAAAGGACAAGGAACAGATGCTTTCGTGAGTAGAAATAAACCATCAGGAAAGGATGGGCATACATGGGGCAAGGCCTAGGGCTGCCTTGCATTCATGAAATGAAACAAAACCCAGAGAGCACTCTTTTAAGAGGCCTGATGGAGCCTCTGGGGAAAAGACGGTGGCAATAACACAAGCATTATGGGGCTCTCCTGAGAAGTAAACATAGGCTGGGGGAAGCTGGAGAGGCCTGTATTCTGCACGTCCCTGGTGATCAGCAGCTCCCCAGAGGCTGGCCTTTATTTCCTCCCTCACGAGAGGGGCCCAGTTCCCTCAAAAACTCCCAGATGTTGGGACTTCCCTGGCGTCCAGTGGTTAGGACTCCCTGCTTCCACTGCAGCGGGCGTGGGTTAGATCCCTGGTCTGGGAACTAAGATCTCAAACTCTGAGGGGTAAAAAAAACACCAAAAAAAACCTCCCAAATGCTCTGACCTGGGCTTTCGGGCCGGCATCCCCTCCCACAGATGCCTCCAGTCCCCCACCCTGGAGTCCTGCTCTAAGCACCAGAGGGCAGTTTGGGCAGAGAGAAGATACTTCCTTCAGGGCAGTGTGGTGGCAGCGAGGGTGGCGTGGGGCCCGCGGAGGGGTGAGGCCCACAACAAACGTGCTATTAGTGGGGCTTTGTGGCCAGGAATCTCCCACCTCCACCCTGTTTTCCCTCTAGGGTGAGGGGTCCCCTCCACTCTCCTTGCCTGTGCCAAAGGTGCCCCCCCAACCCACTGCCAGCAGAACACGTCAAACACACACTCCAGCCATGTGCTGGGGAGGCCGCTCCCACTGCCAGGCCGTGTGCGCGGTGCTTATGGGGCCGGACACTGTCCTGAGCCCTTGGCCTGCTCATTTCACTCTGGCGATCCTGAGGAGGGCGCTGGGCCACTCCCTGTTTTACAGGTGGGAGAACAGAGGTGAGGGACTTCTCCGAGGTCACACTGCTGAGCGGTGGCAGAGCAGGGACCCTGGCAGACCGCCCGCAGGAAGGCCGTGCTGGACCTGGGGCTCTGAGGCAGGCAGCAAAGTCCCCATCCCATGACAGTCCCCCTCTTGTAAGTGGGGATAACGGGGCCCGCCCACTCCTGGCTTGGGCCTGGGCCACTGACAGCCCATGCACATGGAATGTCTGGAGGAGGTCCTAGCATGCAGTTGCGTCGGGCTGTTGCTTCAGCTGTGTCTGACTCTGTGCAACCCTATGGACTGTAACCCTCCAGGCTCCTCTGTCCATGGGATTCTCTAGGCAAGAATACTGGAGTGGGTTGCTGTGTCCTCCTCCAGGGGATCTTCTTGACCCAGGGATTGAACCCGTGTCTCTTACATCTCCTGCATTGGCAGGCAAGCTCTTTACCACTAGCGCCACCTGGGCAGCACGCAGTTAGTGCTCAATAAATAGCTCATTTCTTGGTCTTCTCTCTGCCCAACCGCTAACCAGGATACAGAACCAAGTTGCTGGGAATACACTGCTGGCCAAAACCAGACACCCAGGAGGCAGGAGGAGGGGACAGAGGTGTCTAGGCCTCCAGGCGGCAGGGGCAGCTCCGGTGTGAGGTCGGCCCGGCTCGGGGAGGGCCACCCCGGGGAACAGACACTCCTGACTCCCTGCCTGTGGTGGTGGGGCTGTGGGGGGCAGGGGTCTGGTGATCTGGGCCCATGGAGTCAGAGACGGGCCTGTCCTGGGGCGTTTGCTAGGGGAAGGAGCCGCAGAGCAGGGCAGGAGAGCCAGCATTCCCAGTGGGGACACAGCCAGTGCGGCAGACGGGTGGCCGGGCATGGATCAGGGAAAGAGGGGGACAGCTGAGAGCAGGCACACAGGCCCCAGCTGTGCCCCGCTGTCCGAGGTGATACTGGGACTCGACTGCCTCATCCAGAGAAGCTGGGACCTGCCGCCACTTCACAGGGTGGGCTGTGTCCACGGAGGGACTCGTGGGACTGTCTGCGGCGTCTCAGCCCCTGGACCAGTGCTGGCTGGGCGATGGCAATGGAGGCTCAGGGTCACAAGAACCTTCCAGGCTGGCTCAGTCCTCAGGCCACAGTTCGGGCACTGGGATGGTGGTGGGGGTGGGGGGTGTGGCAAGGGTGAGTCTCCAGCCACAGGAGTGAAGGTGCTCCCGCCCCCAGCTCACCTTTTGAGCCCCTGAGAAAGCGTGGTAGAAGCAGGACACGTAAGTCATGATGGCTTTCTCATCTGGCCTCAGAGTGCCTACAATATCTGCACAGAGAGAGAGAGAGAGAGAGAGAGAGAGAGAGGCAGGAGAGAGTGAAAGATGCAGGAAGGGCGGCCGAGGCCTGGCCCAAGGCTCATGCAGGAAGGATAGCGCTGGCTCTAGACTGGAAGCCAGACCCTGGCTCCGGCCTGCGTGGGTGTGTCTTGCCAAGGGGAAGGGGGGACATCCGAAAGGGACAGATTCCTTTCCTAACCAGGCCTGGGTTTGGGACACATTAGCTAGGAAGCCTTGGTTGGGGCTAGAGGGATCTTGCTTGCATTATTTGATCTTTCTGAAAACATATGTAGGATCCATGTCCTTTGTGACCACCTACCACCTGAGCACAAACCCCTAATCATCTCCTGGGGTCTCAGAATGAAACTCAAACTCCAGGACTACAATGTCTCCCACAGCCTGGCTCTGTCACCTTCTCCTACCTCATCTTCCTCTCCTCCCCAGCCATTCCTTGGATAAGCCCCGCCACTGATGCCTCAGGGCCTTTGCACTTGCTCCCCCCTCTATCTGGAACACTCCGTCCACAGCTTCTGCTCATCACGCCCCTCCCCACCAGCGGCCCCAGATGGAGGAGCCCAGCGCATCCCACCATGCTGTCTGTGCTGTCCACTACTCCTCTCACACGACGTTACTTTCTCTATGGACCTGCTCGTTGTCTGTCTTGCCCACTAGAACATAAGCTCCGTGAGGGCAGAGGCCCTGCCTGACTCGGTCACTGACTGTACGTATTCTCAGTGCCTGGCACTGAAGTAGGGGGGTGAGCTCTGAGGCGCTCGAGAGATACCACGAGCAGATAGAGACTAAACGGGCGGTGATGCCGAGGAGCCGGGGGGTGGCTTCCAATCGGAGAGAGGCCACTGCCGTCTGCAAGAGAAATGAGGTGAGTGCGGGAGGAGAGGCAGCAGCGGCATTGGGCGGTGGCGGCGAGGTGGGCCTGCCTGGCCCTGCCCGGTACCTTCTGCGCTCCCGAAAAGGCATGGTAGAAGCTGGACACATAGGTCATTATGGCCTTCTCGTCGGGCCGGGCCGTGTTCACGATGTCTGTAAGTGAACGACAAGGGTTAAACTGCCCCAGCAGGGGTGGGGACGGGCGCTCACGGAGATGCACGGGCTCCCCAGGCCACAGCAGGAGTCCTGGGAGAAGGACCCTCGGAGCTGATTCCATGACCCTGGGCGACTCCAGTGGGCTTGGCCAGCCCCTCGGCCCCTCCATTCCCCATGGTCACCGGAAAGGCCAAGGCTGTGGGAAATGGGATTAAGACGAGGCGACTTCCTCTCTCTGAGAACGGCCTCAAGGGGCTGCTAAACGGTCAGCCCCAGGGGCCGCCGGAGGCCAGAGGCGGGGGTCCTGGCCGGGGTGGTGCGTGGCTGGGAAACGGAGCAAAGCCGGAAAAGGAAAACAACACTCCACTCTGTGGGCTCCAGATCCCCAGCCTGTGGCAAGCAGGAAGGTGGAGGCCTTGGTTATTCACAGGAGCCGACCGTCCCAGTGACCGAGGGGTGGGATCAGTCAGAAAGGGCTTTGGCGGGGGGCTGGGGCCCAGGCCCCAGGGGCATCCCTGAGAGTTGGTCCCTTTAAGGTCCCCTTCCCCACCATCTCCCTCCCAGGCTGCTCCGGCCTGGGTGCCCTGGGTGACAACACCATCATTCCCAGTTGACGCAGATTCGCCCAGGCGTTCCGGCTGGCTCTGCCAGCTCCGAGGTCACCCTAAGTAAGACATGCCCATAAAACAGCGTGCTGACAGAGCAAGAGGGATGTACTTACCCTCTGCATCCAGCATCTTGGGGATGTCGAGGTATTTCTCGGCCACTTCGAAGGCATTGTTCAGGTTGGTGACGGGGTCGTCCTGGGGGAGGGAGGCGAGGGAAGGAGGAGAAATACGGTCAGGGGCAGGACGCACAAGCAGAGGGAACAAGGGCTGGCCCTGAAGGGAGGGACCCTGGGGAGGGCTGGGACTGAAAATGTTCCTTCAGGCAGTTCTCAGCCACCTGTGCAGCTGCAGGGAGCTGGGGGCGGGGCGGGGCGGACACACCTGGGTAAAGTCAACTCCCACTCAAAGGAACGCTGCTGGAAACCTTTGGGGGGCTGACTGTGCACACTTCCTCCAGAAAGAAACACAGGTGTGCTCTTTCCTTAGAATTTCCAGCCATCCCTGGGTCCCAGATTAAGACCCCCTGCACTGAAACACTGATCCAGACCTGAGAGAGCACTGGGGTGTGTGTGGGGCTGGGGCTGGGGAGCAGAGAGCCTCTGCGTTCTAAGCTCAGCCCGGCTCACAGGATGAGTGCCCACTTCACGCCGACCCTCCCTCACAGGCCTCTCCCGCTCTCCAGCTACAGCCCGATTCGATTCCTCGATTAGTTGCTGTGGCATGAGCGGGCTGAGCACCATCCTGGGTACCCCCGCTCCCCCATCTGGGATGATACTTGGCCCTAGGCTGCCTCCCCCACGGGCCCTGCCCCACGAGGCCAGCTCAGGGGTGCCTTCCTTCTTCTGTAGCATGGGTCCCCCCATGATGGTTCAGAATTCCTCACCCCTCTCCGCTGGGCAGAGTGTGAACGCTTCAAGAATCTAGAGGGTTATGGAAGGGGAACTGGGGACCTCCCTGGTGGTCCAGTGTTAAGAATCTGCCTTCCAAAGCATGGGACTCAGGTTCGATCCCTGGTCGGGGATTCCACATGCCAAAGGGGCAACTAATCCCGTGCGCCACAACGACTGAGTCCTCACGCCACAACTAGAGAGAAGCCTGCCCACTGCAACTAGGACCTGATAAAGCTGTAAGTAAATACATAAATAAAAAGGAAGGGAAGCTGGAAAGCATGGTTGGCCAGGATCTCCCATAACCCCTGGCAGCTGCAATGCTCAAGGAGGGAGAAGGGGACGGGTCCCAAGGGGACCAAAGGAGGCAAGAATCAGCCGCTGAGCCTGGGGTTTGCTGATGGCTGGCACAGGGCCCTCCCAGTCTGCCCATCTGAGCAGAGTTCAGCTCTGGACACCAGCGACGGACAGGCTGGGGGCAGCAGCCCAGAGTCAGGGTCAGAGTCGTGGTGTCTGTGGGCCACTGAGGGGAGGCAGAGACACGCACCTTTCTCAGCTTGTCGTATTCGATCAGCTCCGGTCTGTGCCGATGGATCAGGGCGTTGAAGGCAAGGCCGTCCTTCCAGCTGGGGATGGAGAGGCCAGGGTTGTGAGGAGGGCCCCCGTGGTCAGGAGGGGCTGTGGGCCGTGGGCACACAGGAATGACTACCTCCTACTCCGTGAGGTGGTCTAGAACGTGTGCCCGGCTGGCTGTGAGCCTGGGTGCTGGAGCCGGACCGTCTGGGGGGAAATTCCACCCCTTCCGCTCTCAGTGCAACCTTAGGCAAGTCCCCTAATCTCCTGCTACCTCAGTTTCCACATATGCAAAATAGGGATAATACAGTGCCTACACTTGATCAGGCTGCTGTGAGGATAACTGTGTGAGGCCTAGGCCGATACCTGACATGTGACAAGCGCCCTGTAACTGCTCGTTACCGAGGTGGCTGTGCCCCGCTGAGCACTGTCATGCGTGGCCCTGCTGAGCTGCACAGGCCTGCACTGCGGGCCCTCTGCACCTCGGCTGACCTGACCCATGGGCTGGCTAAATGCCAGGACGTGGCTTGGCGTGAGGGGCTCTGTTCAGAGGGAAGTGACAGCTGGTCCCAGGCCAGACTGGTCACATTTCCCTCCCCGAGAGCCTCTAAGGCAGGAGTCCCCAACTTCTGGGCTGTAGATGGGTACCTCCTGTCAGGTCAGCGGCAGCATCGGATTAGAAATAAAGTGCACAGTAAATGTAATGGGCTTGAATCATCCCAAAACCGTGCCCCTCTTCTACCCTCAGAGAAAGGAATGGTCTGTGGAAAAACTGTCTTCCGTGAAACCGGTCCCTGGTGCCAAAAAGGCTGGGGACTGTCGCTCTAAAGGCTGGCTCTTTCGGAGGTCAAACTTAATGACATCTCAGACAGACCCCCTCTATGACCATGGTACTCTTGCTGGCTACCTTCTGTCACCTTATCCTATTTTGTTGTCTTTGGCCCTTCTCACTACTCGGAATTAGGCTGGTTTCTTCCCACCTCTGTGAACTACTGGCCCCCCGGCTGAGGTGTGACCTTCCAAGGGCAGGGACTTGATTTTGGCACTGTTGTATTCCCACTCTTGGCATGGAGTAGGCACTCCATAGGTATTTAGTGACTGAATAAATATACGAATGAGAAGTGCACGGAGGACCAGCTAGCTGGGAAGGAAGGAGACGTGGAGGAGATCAAGGGAGGGACTGCCAGCTACAAATGGCTGAGCACAATGGTCCCCAATGCCGAGTGCAGGGTCCTGGGGAGTCCGAGGACACAGCAGGACCTCTGTGGACGCTGGAAAACCCCGTTCTTCATCCCGATGTGTGTCCTCTCCCTGGACCATCCACCCCAGGAAGACAGCAGAGGCTCAGAGGGGTGAAGTTACGGTCATGTTGGATCTGATCTCAAGGCCACCCCCAAAGCCTGCACGCCTAATCCCCAGGCTGTGCCATACTCCCAGATCTCCCACTGATCATGCCTGCCTTGTGGACACACTCATTTTCTGCCCTGACCCGAGGAAGAGCAGGCTTATTCCGGCTGAGTCCTGTTCCTCTAATGGACACAGGGCACATTTCCCCGACACTGAACTCACTAGGAAGGCAGGTCCCTCTTGAGAGGTCAAAACAAAGGAAGAGCTTTGCTGCTCCTTCCGAGTTACCAGACTTGGGGAAGGAGACTACAGGGCCTCGCAAAGGTGCCGGGCCGTAAGGCCTCTAGCCCGGGACGGTGAGGCGACCGCCACCTCCCCCAAGGGACGCGGGGACTTTCCCAGGGGTTCATGGAAGCCAGTGGGGAGGGGCGCTACTGAGAGCTGGCATCTCACAGACCCTGACAAAACCACAGCAAGAGAGCTGGGGTGGGGGTGGGTGTGGGGCCAGCCAGCATCTCAAGTCCCGGGAAGCAGCTTGGGGATGATGTTAGCTGGCACTTAGCCGGCTGCTCACCTGATGTGGAAGTTCTGCACGTTGACGTTCTTGTATGGGGCCGTCTTTCTCTGGCACCAGAGGAGGAGCCCTTCCTTGGCAGAGGTCTCTGCAGAACACAAGGATGGTGAGCACAGGCTCACAACTAGAGGCGCAGGACCCAGTGCGGGCGGGTCACCCTTGGGGCTCAGGCAGAAGGGGCAGAGAGAAGCCGGGGGAAGAGGCCCTGGGACGGGGCAGCCGCAGTGTGGGTGCCCCTTCCGCATCCTAGCTGCATGCCAGGCCCCAGAAGCAGTCATTCACCTGGGGTCACCTGGACGTGACAGTGACAGGGCAGTGTCAGGGCCTGAACCTGAGCCGTTTCTGACCCCAAAGCCTGCGCCTGGCAGGACACACTGCCACACAAGCGCCTGATGCAGGGCCCGGCTTCTGAACAAGGCCCCAGGAAGGGGCTGCCTACTCGGGGGCCGGCCACAGCTTTGAGGAAGCGGGGTGGGAGGGCCCCGGGAGGTCCCTCTGTCCCCATGGGCCTCGCCCCATGGACTGTGCTCAGCAGACTGGGCGCGCTATGAGGGCAGGCACCACGTGTGTCCCGGTCACTGCTCGGGCCTGTCACCAGGAGCCCCTCCACATGCTGGCCCCGGGTTTCTCTCACCCTGTGTTGGCCAAGTCCGAGGGTGGGAGGTGGAGTGGAAATGTGGGTGCTGATGCCCCGGAGAACGAGGCCAGGCCTGACTTTATCAGGAGCCTGCTCCCAGACTGTAAAACGGTGCGGTCATGCCCACTGGACGAGAGTGGTGTAAGGGTCCACTGAGAGGGGTGGCCGCACGGGTCCCCTTCACCTCTACTGGGCCAGCACTCCCAGGCAGGGCCAGGCCCTGGGAGTCTTGTCCGGACTCAGGAAAGAGCCTCCAGGCATGAAGACAAAACACCTGAAAGTCTAACCAAGTCCCCAAAACTTGGGGTGGCACTGGGGTTGAGAGAAAAGGCTGCTCTCTGCCAGTCGGCAGGCCCTCGGTTCTCACCTTCCACAGAGATGTCCTGGATGGCGAACCTGAGGATGATGGTCCAGATCATTCCCAGGGTCATCTTCGCGTTGCCGTCCACAATCTCTGCATGCAGGGAAAGGGGCAGAGGGTGAGAAGATTGTTAGGAAGCAGAGGGTGACTCCCCAGGCGGCCCCTGGCCCTGTCCAGAGTTCAGCTCCATCATCTGACACAGCTGCCCAGGCCTGTCCCACACCACCTGCATTGGGAGGTGTCCCTCAACAGGAAGCGTGGTCCCCAAAGCCTTCTGCCACTTGGCACATTCAGGCTTCCACACACACGTGTTCTCAGCCACACAGGCCCCCTCCTCTCCAGGCCGCTCACTCTCATGACCCACTGCAAAGGATTGCTCCCAGGCGTTAGGCCTGAGTTTCCAGCCCCCATCACCCCTGTATGGGCAAGTCTCTCGACTAGCAGGTGCAGGCCACGCTAGTATTTGTTGAGAATCTGTCCCCTTCCTTCCAACACCAGTGCTGCCACCTCGATCCAAGCCACCATCGTGTCCCCCAAATCTCGATGTACCGCCTCCTCCGTCCCCGTGATCCACTCCCACGCAGCAGGGTGGTCACTAACAGGTGCATCGAATCTGTGCCGAGTGCCTGCTTCAGGCCCCACGTACCTGAAGCAAACCCTGTGTGCTGCAGGTGGGCTCACAAGGCCTGCCCTGTGTGACCTGGCCCCTCCCTCCCCAGCACTCTCTAAGCTCCGTCCTCTTGTTGAGTCAACGTTTGCTTGCTTTAAGGATCTCACACCTCCTGTCCGCCCACAAAGTGGACCCCTTGTCCCTTTCCTCAGAAGGCTGGTGGTCCTTCCCAGCATGTTCTGTCTCTCTGCTTCTGCGTCACCTCCTGGCTTCCCTGGCTTCCCTGGCACCCTGCTCCTGCCCTCACACGCACACACTGGCTGGTCTGTCTGCTTCTTCATGGGCTTCCCAGCTGGTACAGTGGGAAAGGAACTGCCTGACAAGCAGAAGGCTTGGGTTTGATCCCTGGGTCGGGAAGATCCCCTGGAGAAGGAAATGACAACCCACTCCAGGATTCTTGCCTGGGAAATTCCACGGACAGAGGAACCTGGTGGGCTACTGCCCATGGGGTCACAAAGAGTTGGACACGACTGAGCAACTAAGCGGCAGGAGCAGCTGCCTGTTCACCGTCTGCCTCGTGATCAGTCCTGCACCCCCAGCACCTGGCCCGGCCCTCGAGAGGGAGAGAGAGAGAGGGTGAGAGAGAGAGAGAGAGAGGTGGAGCCGCAGGCGGCAAGAAGCAGGGGGGCACAAGGGCCAGCTGCTGAGCGCGCGCTTCCTCAGTTGACTGAAAACCACTCTCCCAGACTCCCAGGGGTGAGAGAGAAGGGTCTGGACCACACGTTCCTCAGCTTCAGCAACTTGGAGAAAAACCACTTCTGTGATGCTCAGGCACCGTGGGGTCTGGGGCCGGGTGGAGAAGTGCGTACGAGCAGCTGCAGACCAGAGCCCATCGGCCTGACATGCCTGCAGGGGTCCTCTCGAGCCTGCAGCCCATTGCTCCTCTCCCAGTCTGGATGCAGGAGGGAGGCTGGCAGAACGGAGGGATGCTTCAAGAGACCGTGCTCACCAGCCTCAAGGACAGAAAACTCTAGGTGGGCTTGATTTGAGGAGGAGGAACGAAGGTCCCCCAGAGGATGGGACCCAGCCTTCCCAGAGGACACACTCACTAGGAGGTGGGGGACTCTTTAGTCACTGGTGAGGCTCCCCCCAGGGAAGCTGTGGGCTGCCGGCTGAGGGGAGATCTCAGTTTGAGGGTTTGAGGAGAGGAAACACATGCAGCCGGCTGCCTGTAGGCAGGGGAAGGACACAGTATCCGCACCTTTCCCAGGGCAGAGAACCCCAGGCCTGGAAACTAGGCCGAGCCTTCTCGTGTGGCGAGAGCGGGGATTCGTCCAGGAGATCCACGCTGTGTTCCTCCTGGGGGCTGGGCACCCCAGAGCCGGGGACGGACACAGGCTGGTGTGGCGGCCGCAGTGCCTGTTCCCAGCTGGCGCCCGAGCAGGCTGGTCACAGAGGCTTAGAGAGTCCCTGTGACTGCGGGGGGAGGCGGCCACTCTCATGACACACCCACCAGCTGCTCCCTGGACCTGCAGCTGCGCCTCCGCCTCCCAACCCCACTCATGAGCCCCACGAGGAAGCCGTGTTCCTGCAGCTGAGACGGTGTGGAGGGACAGGGAGTCGGGGGTGGACGGGGGTGGGGGGACATAGATCAGGGCTCTCAGGTACCCCAGAGATCTCAGAATGGCTCCAGACGGCTGCCCACCAGAGGCCCGAAGGCCACGGGTGTTGGGAGCGAAGCGGTCTGGGCATGAACGGAGAACGTTTTTAGACTGAGTTTTTCTCCAAATGAAAACTGATGACTGCCATGGGTCTCTCCTCTCACCCTGTCTGTATTTACAGGCTAGAATTTGAGCAAAATAAAAAAATACAGCTGTGAGAAGCAGGAGGCTGGAGGGGAGCCAAGAGGAAAGATCCATGCAAGGACAGAAAATCTCAGGGCCTGATTGAATTCGGGGTTTTGTGTTTTGTTTTGTTTTGTTTTGAAGCAAACACCAACCACCTCGACCATGGCATGCGAGGCTTGGCACCCCTCCTTGGAGAGGGCCCGGGCCAGGGCAGAGCCTTGGAACACGGGACGTGCATTCCTGGCCTGGAGTCCCGGCCAGACTCTCAGAGCCCTGTCATTAACAGCAATTAGTTTTCTTTGTTTTTCTAAAAGCTGGGACAACATGGATGTCGGGGTGTAGGAAACCCTGCTCTGACTAATGAGCAAGACTGTGAGCCCAGGCTGATGGGGACCTTCTGGGCTCCATTAGGCCTCGCCTGGTCTCCAAAGGCGCCTGGGAAGTTCAAGACAAGAGTTCCAGCTGCTGGAGTGAGGGCATGTCGCTGCTCCCGCGAGGGACTGGAGACAAGGTCACGGTGCCGGCTGGGCACCCGCACGGGGCCCAGAGGGATCCTGGGAGTCCCATCAAGAGGCCACACTCTCCCAGGCCACATGGCCAGCAAGGTCTGCTCCCTGACCTCTGGGCCTATGCTCCCTGCTACAGAGCCCAGACACCGGGCCACAAGCGTCCTCCCCTCCGAGCCCCTCCTGCCCGCGGACACCAGGCAGGGCCTAAGGACAAAGGTGCTGCTCGCTCAGAGACGGCGGGTCACCTATCAGGCCCAGCACAAGAGGGGAAGTGAAGTGTCCAGGGTCTGAGTCAAAGCCATTCCTCCTGTGCCCCTCATGACTGGGTGAACCGTATTCTCTGCTCTTGGACTGGATCATTCTCTAGGGGAAGGAAAGCAGGGGTGGGTAGGGTGCCGGGGCTAGGGGTGGTTTGTGAACCCAACGCTGCATCAAAGGCAGTCACTGTGGTCACCACTTGGTGTATCCGGCACCCCCATCTTGACCACCAACACAACTTATTTTTTTTTCTTTCCTGGCTGCGTGGCTTGTAGGATCATAGTTCCCTGACCAGGGATTGAACCCGGGTCCTCGGCAGTGAGAAAACAGAGTCCTAACCGCTGGGCCTCCGGGGAATTCCCCCAACACCACTCTGCTCCGGGCCACATCCACTCACCTTCTGCCCCGATGGAGACCAGCTTGACCCCTTTGCTGGCGATGAAGTCCAGCGCCTTGTTCACGTTGTTGATCTTGTGCACTCTCATCTTGCCCCGCTCTGGCTTAGGTAACCGCTCCCCTGAGGACCGAACACCATGAAAGGAAGAGAGAGAGAGATTTAGGATCCCCACTGCTCCCCAGAACAGGCCGATGCCGGCGCAGTGTTGCTGCAGCTGGTAGAGGCCTTGCTCTTGCCCGGCAGCCATGGGTAGGGTGGGTGGTGTCCTGGGGGCACCTGCAGGGTAGTTGTGGGGTGGGGGTGCCTCACCTGAAATGACCTCCAGGAGGAGCATGAGCTTGAGCCCATCTCGGAAGTCCTCATCGATGTTCTCGATCTGCGTGCCGGCCTTCCGCAGGTGAGAGTTGCACCAGGCTGTGAAGGTCTGGGGAGGCAAAACAGAGGGTGGCCAGGAGGGTCAGTGTGGCTGTTGGGGCTCTCCAGCAAAATGGCCGGGCCGCAGCCCTGACTCTGCATCAACAAGGTCACCCTGAGGCCAGGCCCTGGGCCCAACCTCTATCTACGCTGGTGCCGATCTCCACAGCGACCCAGGCAGGCTGACGGGAGGAAACTGAGGCTCAGGCTGGGTCCCAGGACCACCGCTTGGTCAGCGAGACAATGAGTGGCAGAGCGTGGACTGGAACTCACGTCAGCAGCCCAAGTCCAGAACCAGAGCAGAGAACACCCGAGGACGGGGCCCAGGCATGGCGTCTGAGGTGACCGGCGCTCAGCCTCCTACTGGCTGGGGCCTCTGTCGTCATCAACGCCAGCGCCAGGGAAGTGCGTCACTTAAGGGTGGACGTGCCCAGACACCTTCCAGGGAGACGGGCCCACGCAGCCTGGGCAGCAGGGTCTGGGAAAAAGCCCACGCCTGTTTCCCACGGGAGTTCCCTGCCCTGTCCCCGCCAGCCTGCAGGCCCAGCGTGGACCTGGGCCGAAGGCCAGGAATGCACAGGAGAGCCCACGCTGCACCTGGGTGCAGGCAGAGGCCGTGTGGGGGGTGGAGGGGCTTCCAGGGAGACACTGGCCAAACACCATGTGTTTTGACAACTGTCACCAGAACTGCTCATTGGGAGACTCAATGCAAGGCCCCTCGCAGACAAAGAAGCCGCCTAATTAACACGCCACAAGGTGGGTGCAAGCAAGGGTTCCCTCCAAACGCGATGGTCCTTCCCAACCCGAAGAAAGGGGGGAGGGTTGCGGGCGGCTAGGGTACCCCACCCGCCTCCCACCAACACGAAGAAGAGTTCCACCGCCACCACCCCAAAGAGCCAGAAACCTGCACGCAGGTGTCCCCTCTGCTATGGGCGCCTCTGCCAGGCTCAGTCCACACCTACCCCCCTCAACATCAGCCCCTCTGGACGCCCACCCAGGCTGACCAGCCTGCCCAGCCCCGCCCCCTCCTCTGTGCAGGTCTGTCAGAGGACCACTGTTTCACTTTTTTTTTTTTTTAGTATTTTTATTTATTTGGCTGTGCCAGGTCTTAGTTGCGGCATGCGGGATTCTAGCTCCCTGACCAGGGATCAAAACTCAGGCCCCCTGCACTGGCAGCGTGGAGTCTCAGCCACTGGACCACCACCAGGGCAGTCCCTCTGCTTCACTCCCTAACAGTTGCGTGCTGTTTTCTGCCTCCTTGCAGCCGTGAGCTACTCTGGAGCAGGTTCTCAGCGAGGTGCGCACGTATCCACCTCCCCCACCTCACTTCCCTCGCTCCTTCCCCTGAGCAGCTCTGAATTCAGACAAACCAGGGCCAGACTGCTGGTTACATCACTCCTGCAGGCAGGTTACCCAACCTTCCTAACGTCCGTTTCCGCATCTGCAACATGGCAGTGAAGACACCACCTGAGTCACGCCACGGTCGGCACAAGGGTTCGCGGTGGTGACCCCTGTGGAGCTGGGGCACACCAGCAGGGGCTCAGTTCTCTGCACACCACGCTTCCCCGGGGGTCCCCCTCCTCTCCAGACACCCTGCCCATCTCTCCCAGAGTGTCTTCTCTGCCCCCTGCCCGCCCTTGCTACCACACACAGCCCTCGGCATCTCGGACAGCGTTCTCCAGTCATTTGGGGTCTTGCTGGATGTTACGTGCATATATGTGTGTGCTCCCAGGGGTAGAAATTTAGTCTCACATCGCACGTGCCTTTAGAATGCCCAAAGCACAGCGGCCTTGGGCCTGGGCAGTGGGCAGGCATGGCGCTCAGCCGCCCAGTGGGCAGCAGCAGGCAGGCTGGGACAGGAAGTGGCGGGGGATGCCGGGCCTCTGCTGTTCCCTGCGCCCGAAAGATGCAGTGGGGGCAGCAAACTGGCCATCACATCCCCGGCTGAGGACACAAGACGGCAGTTCCCAGAGACCGAGCCCCAGTGCCTCTGGGGCCGAGATCTAGGCACCTGATCTGCAGGGAGGGCACCTCCCTCCCTCAGCCTGTCTGTGCGACACCTGAGGCAACCCTTCAGGGCTTGAGTGCCGGCCCCTCAGCTTACCTCTGGGTTTGCAACCAGGAGCCCTGGCCTACCTGCACCTCAGCATCCTCCTCTGTAGGATGGACTTCTCAGAATCTACCGCCTGTATTTGCTGCGGGATTAAATGGGGGGGTGGGGGGAGGAGAGGAATGCTTTAAAACATCCACCACAGAGCTGGCGTCAAGCCCCGAGAACTCACACACCTGGGACCACATCCACACCAGCGGATTCCCACTCCATCCCTGGGAAGGGTGGGACCTAGTCTCTCTGCAAAGGCCCTGACCCCACCACCACGGCTTGGAGGGGAAACGAGAGGTCCAACCTGGGCAGGCTCTGAATGAACTTGGCCTCACTGGGCTCAGGTCGTCTGTTCTCATAAGATCACAACACCGCCTACCCCTGCACACATGGCCCATCTCCACACCTTCGCTCACCTTCTCTGGGCAAGAAACAAGAGCTCTGGCTGGGGGCTCACGCAGACCCTACCTTGCCCACTGAGGCCAACTTCCAGCGGGGTAACCTCGGGCAAGCAAGGAGCCTCAGGTTCCGTGCTGGGTCAAAGGGAGACAGTAATCTCCCCTCTTAAACGATGACTAAACAAAATAATGCAAGTAAACCACTCAGGACTGTGCCTGGCACAGATGAAGTATTCAGTGTTAAATAAATGTCAAGGGAAGGACTACTTTTAGATAAATGGTAACTCTGCCTGGCACTCGCGTCTCCCTGGCCGGAAGCAGGCGGAGGCCCAAGCAGAATGCAGAGCGAGTGCTCGGGGAGACTACCCACGAGTGTGGCCTCGGTGGCAAGAAACCCGACACATGATGGACGGGAAGGCCACCGACAGGCCCCATGCCCGCATTCCGTGGCCTGTCCAGCCGTTTTCTCCTCCCAGAAGACCAGGAGCATCTGCTGACGCCAGAGACTCAGGGGGCCCTGAGCCCGGGGTACAGTGGGCAGGAGTCACGAGGCCCTCCTCGGGATCAGGTCCACCACTCGCGACCCAGCTCCATGTGGCACGACTGTGAGTAGGAGCTGGAGTTCCAGCAGGACATGAAAAATTCATAGCTGCTTCTACTTGGTTACAAAAATAACATTCTGCTTATTCACTCCCTCTCCCTGCCCGGTTTAGACTGAGATGTGCGGGGTGGGTAGTGTGGAGGGTGGTTTCTATAGATGGAGGCCTCGTGGGTCCGCTGTGCCCCCGCCATTCTGTAAGCTCTGTCACAGCATGAGTTGTGGAGCGCGGCAGGCCCCGAGGGCTCCACGATGCCCAGGGCGCCGTGGGGCGGGACACCCACTCTCGAGATGGGCATCTTCTGCCTGCCGGCCGGGGCCAAGGCTAACACTGAACCCACCACGCTGAGCAAAAGCAGACCCCAGGCTGCACGCTAAGGAGCTTCCAGTGTGATGAGGGACAGAACTCATCTCATTAACCAAGCGATGACTCAACTACAGAAGTGACACCCTCAGGAAAAGTGGATGGTAGACCGCAGACAGCTAAAGAACGCAGCAGACACTCCCATAGCTAACTATGTGGCCCGCACTGTTCTAGGAACTTTGCCACATGTTAATAACGTCTCTCATCCGCAACAGCTACCTTGTGAGGTGGTTACCTTTTCTGCCCACATTTAGATGAGGAAATCGAAGGTCTGAGAGGTAATGTGATTTGCCCACAGGTAGTCATGTACCTGTCAAGTTACAGAGCAAGATTTAAAGCCAGGGATCCTGGCCCAGCTTCCCAGGTGGCGCTAGTAGTAAAGAACCTGCCTGTCAATGCAGGAGACAAGAGAAATGCTGGTTCAATCCCCGGGGTCAGAAAGATCCCCTGGAGGGAGGGCATGGCAACCCATCCCAGTCTTCTTGCCTGGAGAATCCCACGGACAGAGGAGCCTGGCAGGCTGCAGTCTATAGTCGGAAAGAGTCGGATATGACTGAAGTGACTTAGCACGCACCCTGGCCAGGCAGCCACTCTGAGGCATCACCTTGCATTTGCCCTCCTTCCTCTCACCTCTCAAAGAGGGAGCTCACCAGAGTGTTTAGGATGCTGATGGGGGGAGGGGAGGACACGTCCCTGAGGGTCCAGTGGTTAAGACTCTGCATGCCCAAAGCAGGGGGCCCAGGTTCAATCCCTGGTTAGGGAACTAAGATCCTGCAAGCCACACAGTGTGGCCAAAAAGAAAGCAAAAAGGGGAGGAAATCCTGGGGAACAGCTCCTAACCTTCTGGCCAGGCAGACATGGGTAAGTTCCCTTATGGAGAATGAATAGGACAAAAATAAGAAAGACGTTCCAGATAATGGGACCAGTGTGTGCAAAGGCCCTGCAGCAGCGAGAAAAGAGCCTGGTCCTGGAGAAAGGGAGGGAGTGAAGGAGAGCAGCCTGTGTCCTGAGGCTGGCAGGCCCACCCTGATGGGGCTGCTGTGTGGGGACTGAGCCAGAGGGGCAAGGGTCAATGTGCAATGACGGGGGGGGGGGGGGGGGGGGGGGGGGCGGTAAAAAGCTTCTTCTAAGAGAAACCTGGCAGGAAGAGGAAGGCAGAGGAGCCATGTTAAAGATGCCAACAGCGGTAACCAAGCAAGGAAAACTCAAGGTTTTGGTTTCATCTGGGAGGGTCTGGGACTGCTGGCCCTCTGGGGGAGAAGGGAAAGGCCATAAGTATCTAGAGCTCGTCTGAAGGTCACTTCAGGGGCAGCACTGGTTCTGAGCAGTGGCTGTGTCCCTAGCGCCTCATCTAAGAGCCCCCAGTGCAATCGACGAGCCGACAAAGCCTGACCTGGAGCCCGGATTAGGCACTGGAGGAAGCGAAGCAGACACAGAGCTTACATTCTGGTGGTGGCGGGCGGTGGGGAGGCGGCGGAGGAAGGGTCTCACTGAGGGTAAATGTGCATTAACTGCTGACCGCTAGCTCTTACCATTTACACGTGCTTGC